ATGCAAAAATTATACTAAAACCGTTATGTCCTTGATTTTTGAAACACCAGAATAAGCTTATTTTTTAATAATATGACCTGATCTATAAAATCGAAATCTGAATTCGACTCTTCAGCAAAATTTACAACTTCGCATTCATCGGGTCATTTTTACTGTGAATTGAATATTTCATATCATCGATGGAAGTTTTATAGGAAAATACATATTTTATATTGCCATATTTTAGATGGGTTGTTGTGATATATTTTACTGATGTAGATTCCTTTCATTCCTGGTATTATAAATTGAAAGGAAAATTCCCACCTGGTCACATGCACTGTCGTTTTCCGCTTTTTCGTCGTAATTTCCTATTCATAGTTGTTTTGATCAGACATTGACATGCAAGTTTCCTAAATAATTATCACAACGTAATTCATTGGTTTGTGTTTGGTCTTTGCCTGCATGTATACATTTGTTTGGAAATAATAAGTTTACCGTACCCAAGTTTTCATATTAGTGTATTAAAAGGCAATATTCTTTACCTCGTCTCTTAACTTCCTTGCATCTATTTGTTTAGAATAATATCTCTTATAGAATCACACATAAGCAATGCATTTTTATTTTTATTTGGAGCTGCTTGACGGACTTTTGCTTTCTGCTTGACAGACTTTTGCATTTGTTACGCTTCAAATGTTGGTCAAAGACTCAATTAGCATATTTGTACCAAATGGACATGCCTTATACGGTTATAAAGATTATGGATGTTGTGGATATTTACGTTTTCGCGGAAGATATTACGAACGAGAATTGGTTCATGTTTGGAATATAAAAATATTGGACACTTCATGTACCGCGACTAGGGCCCTACTGCTTATACTTTGACGGAGAATTCTACAAAAAGTAGAAATTGTGTCATGTACGGTATTCGTTGCCTAGTCCGAGATTCAGTAAATATCCATCATAAGCAGTTGAGTCACCTGCTTGCTTGTATTGAACAATATAGAGATGAAAGACCTTATTCCACTCCATGGTTGTGAAGCTATACAAACTGATACAAACATTTATCCCCGCACAAATTGCTTCCAATTCCTCTTCAAAACACTCAAAAGGAATCCCACAAGAAAAGAATGATGAATCAATGAGTTTAAAAACTATCAAACTATTAGGAATATATTTGATGGCAACTGTCAATAACGCCACGCGTGTTCCACTTTATCCCTGCAACGGGAATTCCGGAATCCTGCGCTCAGAACGGTTTCCTTTGAACATTAATAAAAACCTATTCATTTCCCGCATGGACTACATACCTATTATTGTAACACCATCTGCAAAATCTAAGAAGAATGCTACGTGGAAAGAACTATTAAACTCTACCAGCTACCAAACGTTCTATTCCAATATATTTATTTCGTCGAAAAGAAATGCTCTCGTCCCATGAAATCCTACTTCCTGTATTTGAAATCCGCTATGCAAATCCTCGTTGTCAATCCCAATCCCACCAACGTATCTTTTCATTAACAGGAAACTCTGTACGAAGGAGTAAATCAAAAGTTCCGGCTAATCGCCAGCATTTGAAAGTGAGATACTTGAATTTTGTACTATAAAATAATACTGAAAACTTGCTCTTGGAAAATTGCCTACGTATTCATCATTAACCAAACCACATTCCTCATCTCCGCTCTGTTTATGGCATAAAAACCAAACCCTAATCGCAAATAGTTCCAGATGACTGAAAGCAATTGGAAAACGACGGAAAAATCAATAGCTATTGAAGAGATGCCCAAAGGAGTTGCGAAATCACCTCTCGTACAGAATTTTAAAAACGGGACGGAAAACAATTAAACCTTTAGGTGAAGTTGATTCACAGTAGGAAGTGCGTTATAGCCATTCACGAATATATATTGCCCGAGTGCAATGTACAACTGATAATTATGTATTCTGTGTTTCATCAAAAACTAATTATTTTTTGGATGATCAGGACGATTATAAAAATCGGATAGTTGGGAGATCGGAAATAAAGATCGAGGTTTAAAATAAAAAAGACAGCTCCATTCTATAGATTGGAGTTATATGATGAAACTTGGCACGGAAATCTTTAAAAGGTTTAATACTTGCGCCTGAAAAATTCGAGCGGACAAATATATTGTATTTGATAAAGAACAAGATGATAGATGTTCATATTTGAACACCTCGATCAGTGTCCAAAAGAGGGACCAAATCTAAAAATGTCAAGTAGACGGCTGGAACATTATTTAATATTGAGCATTTGCATACCATATCTATTTTTTGAATTTGTAGCAAGTTATCACATCCTAATGCAGGCAATCCCGGAAAGTGCTTCCTCTGTTCCGTAATGTTTGGCCTCATTTCACGCCAGAGATTGTTTTACTATCTCTCTCGATTTCTGAATCGAACCTTGTGTTTCCTATCACTTCAAGGTTCGGCGTGAAGGTCAGTGGTACGTTCGTTGACGTAGCGGCTTCAAATATGAGGCATCTGGTATCTTTTTTGTTGTAGATCATCCTAATCTTTCATTTTCCTGTCCTGTGCAATCTGTCTGATTAAACCAACTACTCGAATGGGAATGTGAAATTTTCCAAATACACAGAACCTTCTTTTATTTTAATGGTATATTGGGATTTTGCATGTGTTTAAAAAAGAGAGTTTTTGAGTTTTGAGTCAGTTTTTGATCTCGCATTTTTACAAATTATGGAGTAAGTTTATTATTTGGATTATTTTTATTATTCCCATCACCGGCATCAGTAAATTTTGATCCCCCTTGGGAAGTTTTTTAAAAATGAAATGAATCTACATTTGTGAAAAAGAATAACAATGAATAGTGTAGTCACATATTCTTTTTTCCGCGATTTTATAAAGTGCATGAATGTGAACCATTTCGACATTTATGCATGTCAACCTATTCATTGAATGCAAAAATGACCCGATTTGAGTGGTAATTATTAATTATTACTTCGTTGAACTCTTTCCTTTGGCACATATAAAACGCGAGATTTAAACGAGAAGTTTTATTAATTACGGTTTTACAGTGAGCAAAAGTAGGGATCAATTAGCTTCTTCTATTGTTGAATTGTTTTATTGTACTGTTCTGTACAATATATGAATATATGCAAAACGTTTTAATCATTTTTCTTAGCGAACAATAAATATCTTTCCCCTTATTTCTGTGCAAAACAACTAAAAATGTAATAGAGCTTTACAAATTTTTCATGGCGGCATCATCTTCTTAAATAATTATATCCAGCACTTTATCTACTGGTATATCATAAGATTTTTTTCTTATTTCATCGTAAATAAGAATGATTGATGTGAAACATTTATACATGTACTCATTCGTCCATAAACATTTTCTTGACAAACAAAAAAACACCAGCAATGCTTTCCAAATTAAAATATACTCAACATTCGCATGAATGCACAGACATAATATTTACTTGCAGATATATTAAGAGATAACACCAGCGGGTACACGCATGGGAAGGGTGCATAGGAATGGAAGAACTCTTTCACCCAACCAAGGTTTGCTTGTAGTAAAATAAATCATAATTATATCCAGCACTTTATCTACTGCATGGTATATCATCATCTTCTTAAATAATTATATCCAGCACTTTATCTTCTGGTATATCATAAAATTTTTTTTCTTATTTCATCGTAAATAAGAATGATTAATGTAGAATTTAACATGGAAACATACATGCATTCATTCGTGCATGAACATTTTCTTGACAAACAAAAAAACACCAGCAATGCTTTCCAAATTAAAATATACACAGCATTCGCATCAATGCACAGACATGATATGTACTTGCAGATATATTAAGAGATAACACCAGCGGGTACACGCATGGGAAGGGTGCATTGTCCTGAATTTTTTGTGGTCAGTTAAAGTGGTTGGATCTGAATTTCTTGTCGTCAGTTAGTGCCGACTGAAATTAGGCGTTGATATCACTGGGAACAATCGTGTCCGTAAAAATGTTTGCTGCAAAAAGGTAAAAACATGCCAACAAAGCTAGCATTGTTTCCTCCAGGTTTGCCTTCTACAACTGTGTAGTAATCTTTCTGCCAATGATGAGGTCGCATCTATTTTTTCAGCAGCATGACAGGCACATTTTGAGCACCAGTGTTTCAGTGTCTTCGCATGTTCGCTCGCATTTTCGTTTCCAGTCAACATGCTTTGCCACTAAATTAAGCGGTGATTTTCTGTATTTCGCAGTGGAGCCACTTCCCCAAACGTACCATTTTCCCGACCTTGTTGGGCAAAACCACAAATTCGTACGATTGTGGCGATATCTCCAAATGCCAGTAATAATGTTTTCAGGAAGACCTTCATCTAGTTTGTATAGCTTGGTATTGTTTGCTTTATCTTGCTTGTAGCGACACCAACTATCTGGATTGCTTTTGCTTTTTCGAAGAAGCACAGTGGAATAAGCTTGTGTCAACGCCGGCTTTCATTGCAGCTAAATCTCCTCAATTTCTTCCCATAGTAGTTTTGCAATTCGTCAATTTTGGCATTGGTTAAGTTTCCCTTTCTTCCTATTCTCGACTTCAACCCTCGGAAACACGTGTAGCTATCACGTGACTAAATTTGTAAACAAAGCGCGAATGGTTGGAGCTCTTTGTTTCAACTGCGTACAGTAAATATGGCTGAAAAAATGGACAAAAAAATTTGTACCATGAACGTCGCTACTTTAAAAAAATATCTACAAGAACGCGGGATTACAGTAAATGGATATCTAAAACCAGCTTTAGTTCAGATCGCTTGTGCGGTAGAAAAAGTGATGTTGCCTATTGACCCTAATTTTCAGTGTGATGATATTACCAAGAGTGTGCAAAATGTTTAATAATTCATGATGTTAGGATTGCTGATCCATTTACTGGAAAGACTTAAAACGATTTTATTAACTGTCCACCATTCGGACTTTATGATATATTTAATCACTTAATTCTTTGTTTGCAATCACGTGATCTACGGAAATTTGATTTTCATCTGACGGGCAAGTTTAACAAATATGGCGGCTGTTGTGTGCTTTGGGAGATATTTTAAAATCCAAAATGCCGGATTGCTGTTCGGTTTATCTATGTACCAACCGCTCGAACAAGAACAGGGATAAACGCTTCTTCAGAATACCTAAAGAAATCTCGCACAGAGGAGACAAAACAAGAGATATTTCAAAAAGACGTCGAGCTAAATGGCTTGCCAACCTGTCGTTGGTGACGAAAGGAGTTGAGTCTCGACATGCTCGTGTATGCAGCGACCATTTTGTTAAAGGTATTATAGCCCATAAATCTAGTTCATCAGTTGTTATATTTACTAGTGTAATTGCTTGTACACAACTCTTCTCATCTGATGTTTAATGAAGGTATATTAAAATACTTATATATAGTTACTGTATTATGTGTACTTGTCATTGGAAATCCTACTCCCCCTACCCTGGAGAAATGTAGAGAATTAGCCTTTTTGTAAGTTTTCCAATGACAAGTGCATTCTAAAAGCTACAAAAGCACTCCTTTCCAGGTTATCCAAGTGAACTATTTGATGAAGAAGATATTGATTGGGCACCAACAATTAACCTTGGGCATCAAAAAGTGAAACCGACTTCAGAATGTGCTTTGAAAAGGCGGAAAAGAGCAGTTGAACGAGAAGAGAAGCGACAACAAAATCAGGCAGCCCTTGCTCTCCTGTCTCTCCAGAATCCTCCACTTCCAAAGGATGTTAATGACTTATCAAGTATGGGTACATACTGTTAATGCAAATGACATTAATATTTTTACATTATGATTTTGTTAATTTTCTACGAGTATCTAATTTATATCATAATGTATACTTGAACAGATAAATCATTGGAAAATGTCACAGATCGTGATGGCCCAACTGTTGTACGCACGAAAGAATGCCAAACATATGTTACTGCTGAGTCGTTGGAAGAAAGAGATAAAGAATTGGCTGAGAAAAAGCTTGAGCTACTTGACTTACAGGCTAAGGTCTCACTTACTGGACTTTCGAAGGAGGAATTTGCAAAGAGTGAAGCAAAGACCAGATTTTATACAGGTCTACCTAACTTTTTGGTACTGTTACAGGTGTTTAACCTTTGTGAAGCTTGGATATCTCACACTGACAGGTCAGCACTAACTAAATTTGAACAACTTATCTTGACTCTTATGAGACTAAAACTTAATCTTTCACTCCAAGACTTGGCATACAGATTTGGAATATCCACTGCGACAGCATCTAGAGTTTTCAAGAAATTGATATCTATTTTGCACTTGAGACTTCAGTTTCTGATTGAATGGCCTGAGAGAGAAATACTTAGGGCTACAATGCCCATGGATTTCAGAAACACTTTTGGAAACCAAATAGCTGTAATAATAGATTGCTTCGAAGTATTTGTAGAGAGACCATCTAACTTATTAGCCCGTGCTCAAAGTTGGTCAAACTATAAGCACCACAATACTGTCAAATTTCTTATCGGTATTGCACCTCAAGGATATATTACCTTCATATCAGATGCTTGGGGAGGAAGAGTTAGTGACAAACATCTAACAGAGAAAAGCAAAATTCTTCAAAATCTTCTCCCAGGTGATGTTGTACTAGCAGATCGTGGATTCAACATTGAAGAGAATGTTGGGCTCTACTGTGCCTCTCTTAAAATACCAGCCTTCACAAAAGGAAAGTCACAACTAACACCTTTTGAAGTGGAAGAAACCCGAAAGATAGCTCATGTCCGCATACATGTGGAAAGAGTTATTGGGTTAGTAAGGCGCAAGTTTCAAGTCCTTCAAAGTAGAGCAATGCCCACCGAATTTTTGCACACACAGCCTGGAGAACAACATTCATTGATTGACAAGATTGGAGTTGTATGTTGTGCTCTGACAAACCTATGTCAATCTGTGGTTCCATTGGAGTAAGAATTATTAATGAAAATCTACCTTATGTAAATAATTATATTAAAAATATTTAGCAGTGTTGATATAACTTAAATATTCAAGAGTTATACTGTAAGTTAAATTTAATTATTTAAGAATATTAAACATACATTTGTATTTATAAATTTGTGTACAAAATGATTACAAATCTTAAGTTATTGTGATATTTACTCCTCAGAATTTTTTAGCTCAAGGGCAGAAAATGGTTTAGAGAAAAATCTCCCTAATACTTCTGGCAGATACACTTCTAAAGAACAACTCTGCCTTAGGTACAACACTATCCAAAATACAATATCTGGTAGGACTCGTTCTATGTAAATGTCATTCTCATTCCATACTATAAAATCACAATAATCAATTTCCATAATGTGAATTTGTGCTTGAATTTGAAAGTAATAGGCATGGTTCTTGTCCAGCTGTATACCAGTTTCACTTTTGACCAGACAGAATCCCTTGTCACCTGCACAATCTACCAGGTTTTCCTTCTCCTTCTTGCAAAATGGACACTATACAGTGAGTGAAAAGATTGGAGTGATTTACATTAGAGAGGGTGACCTTACAATGTATTCAACCATCCCTAATGTATATAAGCTTTTAAAAGAATGAGTTGTATACCTTTATTTCACATGCTCCAATACCACAACAATCACACATGACCACCCCATCTGGTGTTGCACCCATAAATGACCATTTAAGGTTCACTCTTAACCCACTTTCACATACTGAAAATGTTTCATGTTGTTGGCACATGACACTTTCATACTTTTTCCTTGCAATACCCTCATGATTGCAACCATATCTAAAGGAATAAAATGCAAAATTATCAAAATATAAAATCAATACATTACAATAAAAAATTCTTGTTCTGCAAATAGTTATACCTGGTAGCTTCACTTGAAAACCTATATGCTTCTGGATAGCATATAGACTTAATCAACGACTTTGATGGTTTTTCTGGATTTGTTCGGACAACAGATTTAAGTCTTGATGCTGTGATTCGACCAGCTCTATGTGTAAACCATAGTTTTGAGTTGCTTTGCCTCCTGGTTTCTGCTTCTAAGACAGCTACTTGTTTTGCTGTTATTTTTAATGTTAGCTTCTGGCATTCATTCATTAATTGGTTGTGGTCAAGTTTTAATGATTCTTCTGATCCATAGCTCATAATAGGCTTTGGTAATACCTCAGTGGCTGACATAGGTATAAATGAGGAATAATAGAGTCGTTTTGACATTAAACAGGCACTTTTGGGAAAGTTCTTATTCAGGGTTTTAAAGAACTCATGGTATTCCATTGATCCATGTGCAACTGTGGGGCATGGTGGCTTTGGTTGTTGTATTGTAGGGGATGACTTTCCACACATAGCATTATCCATCTTTTGTTTTTTTGCCTTTGCTGAGGATAGGTCCATTGTTTTGACTGATGCAGGTTCGATCTGCAGAAAAACATACAATACAGCTTAGTACTATTCATGTGCACTGCATATATAATGGCAATTTGTTATTTAATCTACATGCACTTCTCTAACACTATAATAATAATATTGCTGTTATGAAGCAAACCTTTTTCATAGGTGCTGGCATCAACCACTTGCTTTTTTCCATCGTACAGGTAATAGTTTCACGTGTCCGCACTGGCTGTTTCAATGAAATATAGCACTGCTCCTACATGAGAGCAAGACTCTGCCAATCTATATATGAAACAAATGTTTTAACCTTGTGTTTAATAATACACTACTGATACTTCAAACTCACTAATTTGCAAACGAAATTTATAGATTTTACAAACCCTGCCATGCAATTGCAATGTCCTGTCAGTACTTCACCATCTTCCTTCATTATCACCCAAGTCTTTAACGGTGTTTCTGTAGATCTCTGGGAGTGATTAACCTGTTCAAAACAAAAAAAATTTGAGCAAATGAACCAAATTATACAATATAAATTAAATTCCTTAATACTTAAAACTGTACGGTACCCTTGCCATTATTAGTTGGTTCCCATTCTTTAATTTCTTTATACCAGTGCCGTGTACCCATCCACATACAAAAAAGTTGTACGCCTCAAGACTCTTGAAAGCCTTCATCTGCTGTTTTGAGTAAAAGGACGTTTGGATAACGAGATAATTCGAGATATCTGGAAATTCCAGATTCGGTAGGTCCTTGAAGTCTGTCGAAAAACTGTTTTTATTCATAGCATAGGGATCTATACCATCACATAATGTGATCTTTTCAATGTATCTCGCTTTTACATTGGGTTCTAACTTGTAGAAATAATCTGATAAAGAAGAGGAAGTGGTCGAAGATGTCGAATGACTTGACTCTGGAGCAGCCGCCATATTTAACTTGCCTAAACTTGCCCGTCAGATGAAAATCAAATTTCCGTAGATCACGTGATTGCAAACAAAGAATATACCACTCTTCGGACTACTATTTACAACACTCATAATGATATGCAAAAGTTAAATAAAGGTACCAGTTCACTCTGTTTTGGGAGTATAATTTTACTCCATTATTTTAACTCCATTCTTAGAGTAGTTTCTACCTCATTAATGGAGTAATATTTACCTTTGCCAGAGTAAAAAACACTCTAGTTTAAAACTTCACTCTCATTTTGGAGTAAAAATCAACCCAAAAGTGGAGTACATTTTACCGATTACAAGCGCTAAAAATACTCTGGTTTAATTTTACTCTTATGTAGGAGTAAAAAACATACCAAAACTGGAGTAAATTGTATTCCTTTCGAGGGTGAAAAGTACTCTAAGTTTGCCAATTTTACTCTCATTTTGGAGTAAAAAATGTACGAAAAGTGGAGCAAATTTTATTTCTTATGGGGGGGGGGGTGAAAACTACTGAAATATTGTTGGACGCAAAAATAGTAAAACACAACAAATACTGTAAAGGAAGAAAATCTTAATGAACAATTTTATCATACATAGGTACAAATGGGTCAAGGTAGCAGTATTACCAATGTTAATTACATAATGACATAGGCTCAGTTCATTTAAATAAATATCATTCCAGTTCTTGCAAGAATTTATTGATAGCGACCCTCTTCTTGGCTTCTCTGGTCCTCTGCATCATAGCAGCTTCCAGAAATAGGTACACGTTCTTGCATGAGGCTGGGTACTAAATGTTGAAGACATAGTAGCAACTTACAAGCAGGCCCAGTGCATTTACCATTGTCCTTGACCCATTTAATTGCATCAGGATTTTGCCCTCTCCAGCAATATACAATGGCTTTATGTTGCCAACATGGCCCGCACCAACAAGTCTTGGCGTCACCGAAGCCTTAATCTCGTCATCAATGCATTCATCTTCTTGTTTGAAATTTTAATTATAGTCAAATCAGTTTAATCAAATATTACAACAAGTGAACATTGGGCAGAAGATCTCTTTGGGGAAAGCAGACTGAAAAGCCAACAATTTTTAGAAAATAAAGAAATATTAGAACTTACCTGGTAAATTTTCAATAGTTCGGTGGTGGCTGCTTGCTCTTTCATTAGGATTAGTAAAACTACCACTGCCGTAGTTTCTCTCACATCTTTTAAAGTAATTGTATATATTATATAAACAACTGCAGTTTTTCCATCCCCAAATAAAACCGTTTCAATTCATATTATACCTGATTCAATGACATTGTTATCTGTATTCGCGTCATCTTCTAGCTGCTCTAGGGTTGCTTTACAGCACGATTTCTCGTTGGCCAATTCAGGATCTTTTCCAACCAGTTTTCCCTGAATTGATCAACCATATCCTTAAGACAACCATTCTTTGCCATCACCTGGTCAAATTCAGCTTTAAGCTAAACATAAAAATGTTGTTTCCGCATTATTTAATTGACACTTCATTTTTTTATTTTTTATTCATCAATAAAATGAATAAAGGTATGATAACATGGTATTGATGGCACATACTAATCACCAATATCAATGATTGAAATATACTTACTTCAGATGCAAGACCAAGTGCAAGGTACTCTTTGAGCAGAGCATCAATTGCTGTTGGTTTCAACAAAATGGACTGCCTTCTATGTGCAAAGGTTAGCTCCATCAAATTCATTATCAAAGCCATTTTTCTATTTGTTGACTTTTTCATCTTTTTCTTCATCAGGGAGATATGTTCTTTGCAGGTTTCCTCTGTCTCACCTTCTGCTAACTCTGGTAATTTTCCACTGCCCATTTTCATTTTCTTCGGCTTGACTTTGTCGGGGCAGCTGGTTGCGGGTGTGCTTCGTTTTATTGCTTGTTCCCATGAACCCTACAAATATAATATAAAAAAGAAAGTGAATGGCAGCTTTGGTGAATATGGTCTGTTTTTGTCTTCTATATATTGAAGCAAGTCATTTGATGACCTCCTGAACATTTTAGAACCCCTTTAGAAATTATTTCGAACCTATTCTTTACTCTGAAAGACTATACATGGATTCATTTAAAAAATTGGCACCCCAAACGTTTGACAAAGGCCAAATTGCCTCTTGTGACCATACCCAACTAGCCAACCTTGTTCTTCAACAAAGTTTAACACTTTGGAACCTCATTTGCGCATGAATTCAGTCCTATTCGTTTTATTTCTTTCACAAAGAATAAAGGATTGGTTACTGTTACATTTTAGTGATTTTACTTCCTAATGAGAGTTCTGTTACTCCAAGAAATGCCCTACTTACTCAGGCATATTTGGAGTGAAAATAATGGAGTAATTATACAGTAATTACTCCGATATGTCTATATCTCTTTTCAAGAGTAGATTTTACTCCTTTATAAGAGTTGTATTGACTCCCGGAGTAGTAAATTGGAGTTAAATTTACTCCTGGAGTACAAATAAAGGAGTAAAAAGTACTCGGATATTTCTACTCCTTTCCTGGAGTATTTTTTACCCTGCAGTGGAGTAATGTTTACTCTTAGTAGAGTAAAAGTTTTGTTATGAACTGAAATGAAGTAGATTTAACTCCGGTTTTGGAGTGAAATATACTCTATTTTTTTACTCCCCAAGAGGGAGTTATTTCAACTCGTACGATGTAGTCAAAATTGCTCCCTAGAATTAACAGTGCATGTTGCTAATCCCTGCATATGTTGCCAATCCCGGCATATGTTGCCTAGGTGAGCAATATGGCGGACAACAGGCGTTTAAAAATTCGACGTTGCTTTGCTGCCTTGTGTATCTTGGAAGTCCCATAAACATGCACGTTCCTCGAACAAAGCTAATAAGCGGTCTATTTCATTTCTTGTCC